AGGGGGAAGAAAAAAGAACATTCAACTAGAATTTCCCACAGTTTAGCTAGAATATGAACACAAAGTTCTTTGTTTTGCACAACTGGTAGCTGCAGGCAACTTTCCTGCCAGAATAAATCTTTGCATTAATTTGGAATAGTGTTTGTGCCGCTGGAAGTTTGTACTTCCATATATAAAAATTCCTAAATCCTGCACTATTAACCTTAACTAAAATATTCCTGCAGTCTGAAGAAATTCTATTTGTGTTTATTTCCTCTGGTTATTCTGTTTCTAAATTATCAGGAACATCCCACTAAGGTGAAAATAGACTCTCTTCCCAATGCAGGTGCCATTCACAGCTAGAAATCATTGTGCTTGCTCATCTCCCTGCCATAAACCTTTGGGTTTCCACCACATCACCCATGTGGTGCTATGCTTGTTCTGTCAGCAGGAGATGCAAATGTCAACCCCACAAAAGGGCAGCACAGAAAAATCCTGGATGCTGTTTGTAGCCAGGCATCAGGAATCTGGCATGGCACAGGAACGGGGATTTTGTAGCTGGTTAATGCCATGGCTGAGCAGCAACTCTTGATTGAAAGTGCCCTGGGGGAAGAGGAGCGAGTGAAAAAGCCGTTTGCCTTTAGAAATAACCCACACAGATGAAGGAACTCTGTTAATTTTCTTCAGAGTGTCTGTTAGAACGTTTGATGTGCCAGTTTATCTTGGCTTCACGAGCTGCTCTTTCCCTGTCGATGCCTGTCAGGAGCTCGTCCGGCAGGGAGAGGCCCTGAAGCGCACGGAGCAGATGGTGGATAAAATGGACCAGGACTTGAAGACAAGTCAGAGGCACATAAACAGCATTAAGAGTGTTTGGGGGGGCTTGGTAAACTACTTCAGAGCCAAACCTCCAGAGAGCAAGCCAGAGCAGAATGGAGCCCCTGACTATTATGCTAACAGCAGGTAAGTAAAAGAAATGTTTTACTTGGGACTTGGGACAGCATCTCTGAAATGTCACCAGGAAATCACAACTTAAAAGATCTGTCCATTTTGTCAAGCAAAGTCTTGAGATGGTTTCTAGCTCCCTGTTTCCTTTAACACCTATAAAAAATGTTTGTACTTCTATTTTTATTTGTAGTGGTAAGAATAACTTTGTGGGAAATCAATCCAATTACACAAAATTACACAAGTAATTCTTCAGTCTTCTGAATTATCGTGCTTACTTCAGTCTTACCAGGGAATCTTAAATTGTAGCATTCATGTGCTCCCAGTTAAATACTAAGTGTGCTTCTCTCGCTTCTATTAGAGCTGTAAATAAAAATGAATTCCTGTGAAGTTACTGTGTCTTACAGTATTTGTTTCTCTTCACCTGAGAAACTTCTGTAAAGCCTGATAATGCTGCATACACTGATTTCCTCCCTCCTTTGGCCCTCCATCCTCCACTAAAGGAAGGGAATATGTTGCCTTCAAGACAGAAGATGCAGTTTTGGTTTTGATAGCAACGTTTCCGTTTGCTATTTTGAGCACCAAAGTGACCAGTTCTGCTTTCAGTGAACATAAATGCTGATGCTTTTAAAGGAACATTTTGGATCAGGTCTAACAAACTTGCTCTTCTTGTGTAACAGACACAGAATGAGGCCTGTGGTCCATACCAATATTTTCTTTTTCTTCTATTTTTTCACTAGATTAAAAGAAGCAATGATGTCTAGTAAAGAACAAGAGTCAAAATACCAGGAAAGCCATCCAAATTTAAGGAAGCTAGATAATTCAGGTTTGTTTACTTTATTTTACACTCATTGCCTGTCATCCACATGGAGCAAGCTTGCAGAGTGATGAAGGCAGAGATCCTTCAGCCTGCCCAGCTGCTGACTTACATTGCTGCCCAACATCTGGAGATTTGTATCCCAGGCTTTGGGATACAAATGGCTTTGAATCCTAGGGAATTGTTTCCCCTAAAGCCCTTTATACCCATGCTGCAGATGTGATATTTTTTTAATTTGGATACAGATTTTATTTAGCCCTTCCAGTGGGGAATTTATTGTATGGATAGTAAAGACTTTAAAAGCTTTTGGTGCTTATATTCACGTAGAGGAGACTGTAGCCAAAAATGCACACAATGTGCAGGCAGCCTTGCCCCAGGTTTGCCAAAAGGTCAGCTTAATGTTGAGGGTCTCCTCTTAACCATCATTTGTCAGATACATTTCCTTGTTATCTCAGACATGGACTGTAACCCTCCCTACTCGAGTCATCACCTGATTCTCACAAGGCAGCGTTTGGGGTTTGGCCTCATTCCCCCTTCCCACAGTGCCTTAACTTCTGTGATGGCTTTTATGTGCCAAGGAAGTGTTCCTTTTTCGAGGGATGTTCGGGTAATTAGCGCAGTAGGAGTGGGAAAGCAGCAGGATATCCACAGCTGGAGCTCTGTGAGTAAAGAGAGAAATGCTTTTGGGATCTGTCTCCGCTCCACTCCGTGTAATGCCGAGGTCTGTCCAGGGGAGGGCAGAGCGGCCTCGGGGGCCTCGCCTGGGACGGCTCCCTGAGGGCACAGAGACCGTCCCACCTCTTTGTCTCACCTGGATGGGAGTTGGGAGACTGGGTTTTTCCTTTTTTTCCTCTCAGCTACCTACTAGAACTAAAAAAAAAGGCAGCCAAAAAGAAGAATTGTAGCTTCACTGTTCATCCTGAGAGGTGCCCTGTAGACAGTGGTGTTGGACTGCTGCTGATACCCCTGTGATGGGGTTACCTGGCAGCTGTGTTCAGGCTAATTTTTAACAGCCTTCCTAAAACTGTAAAGGTTCTTCTTACTAGCTTTTTTATTATATAACATTCTGTATTCTACACCCTTAACAGACAGTGATTTCAGCAAAGCAGATTTAGTTTCTTCAGTGCAAAGGGATGATTCCTACCCTAAGAACCAACAGCTACGAGCTTACCACCAGAAAATTGATACAAATTTAGGTAAGTGAGAAAACTGAAGCTGTTTGATGTAATACAGTTGTCAATTCTTGATTCCTAAGCCAGATAAAATTACTAAGTTATATACTACCAACAAAGACTTTTTTGTTTAGTAAATATGTGAAATTTGATGATAAATTAAAAAATCATTTGCTTGTATTCTGCATTTCTAAACTGTCTACATGGCAGAATCCAAAGTTTGATTGAGACATAAATTATTTGAATGTAGAATGCTAGGGGATGTCTGTGGGTCATCTCCTCCCAAAAATTAGTAACAAATCTGAGTTAGAAATGCATTTGAAGTGCAACCAGCTAGAAACAAACCAGCTAGGATGTCTGGGATAATATAAATCTTCTGTGGAGTGATACACTATTGGCATCAACACTTCAACTCTTCTGCCACATGCTTGTGCTTGAGGAGTTTTGGAGCTGTCCTTGAACAACCTGGGGAAAAAAAAACCCACACCAAAAACATGAGTCCTCTTAGATCATACACAACAATGAGACAGCCTCTCATACCAAGTGTGAACACGCCTGCAGGTCTCTGTCATTTGGCTGTGGAAATGGTGCTGAGGTGTCCCACAGCACTGGCACTCAGGGTGAAAACATTTCTTTGAATCATCCTGTCCATTGACTGGAGTGTCACTGGGGCAAACAGTCTTATCCATCCATTCTGAAAAATCTTACAAAGCAGGTTCTTGTAGCATCAACAAGAAAATACTGCTTCAGGTAGGATCACACTGGTACAGTCGGGGTGCGTTACTGCTGCTTTTCCCAGAGCTTACCTCTCATGGAAAAGGGCATTCAACTTAGCTGACAGTTCAACTCAGATATTAAATTGCACATCAGCTTGGACCCAGATAATTTAGAACTCTGCACAGCTTTTGAAATGAACATGTTTTGCCAAAAATAGAAGAATCGAAAGGCACTAAATATTTAATTTGTGAATTTGCCGCATTCCTTTTATTGCTTCCCGAAGCTGTTCAGCTGACTCTGCCTTCCTTTGTTCTGTAACATATAGACAAAGTGCCTCTTTGCTTACACGTGTCTCTCTGTAGCTGACCTAGAAAAACAAGATTGGAAAGAAATCAGAAAGGAATGGATCAAAGAAATAGGCAGAAGAGTTTAGTGGAAACACATTGTTCTACTCACAAGCTGTGGAAAACTTACTTGCTTCAGAAGCATTTATACCAATCAATCATGCAATAAAATAGTCACCTTGTAGCCAAATTAGAAAATCTGGAAATGGGAGGTTTTCATCTATGATAAATAACACTGAAGATTTAAGAAGTATTGATGATACTTCTACATGACGTTTAAGGAAAAACAATTGAGGCAGTGAGCAGATTGTGTATGCTGCATCTGATTTTTCTGTAAAATACATTTAAAAAATAAAAATTACATTACAGGGTATGTCATTTGATAAAGATCCAGTTTGGTGTTAAGCATTTGAAGTTAACTTGTAGTGGAAGAAAGAAGGAAGTGATCAGTTCTGGTAGTAAAGCAGTACAACTATGGACAGAGCAGTGCTTCCACTACTGCAGAGGAACACTCAGAGCTGAGAAGCTGTACCTGACATTTTCTAACCCGGGAGGAGGGGGGATCCTGGCAGTGTCCATTTGAGCAGTGTTTTATACCACTGTGGCTCCCTATGGTCCCTCTCTCCCTTGGCAGATGAGATGTCTTCTGGGCTGAGCCGTCTGAAGAACCTGGCCCTTGGTCTGCAGACGGAAATCGAGGAGCAGGATGATATGCTGGATCGGCTCACGAGGAAAGTAGAGACACTGGACATCAATATTAAAAACACTGATAAAAGAGTCCGACAACTTTAAAGGGTTTTTAGAATTCTTTTTGTCCGGCGTCAGATCATCCTGGAGGTCTCATTTCAACCCATCTCTTAAAAAATCTTGGATAGTATCTGTTTCTCCTTTTTTCTGATACGTTATTGGTTTTGTTGTCCATAAAATTCCATAGGCTTAATTCAGCACAATACATGAAATTTCTTCTTAGTGTCCATGGGAATAGTGCATGTGGAGTAGAGTCTCAGCATGGGGTCAGGATGCCCTGCTCAGTTGTGTCCCTGTGTCGTGTGCGTGGAGGAATTCGCAGGCCACAAAGCTCCAGTGTCCTTGGCCTGGGAGCTGTGGTGAGAAAAGGAAACTGCATTTTTTGCCTCTGTTTTGGGGAGGGGGCAGGGGGAACAGAATGTGCTGCTTTGTTCAGAACACATGTTGCTAATTCTGTTTACCTACAGCTATGTTAAATTATGAAAAAACGCTGATTTCCAGCTGTAAAAATAATTTAAAGTGACTGTTGTGGCATTTCTGGAGCTTAAGGAATGGACTGTTCTGTGGAAGTTGTAAAATATCAAGGGTGTCATGCAATCATGATAACATCCTGTGCGTGTTCCCCTTCCTAAGATGACTTTTGCCAAATGGTGAATCCATGAACTGTGTTTTTTATGTTTGGTCACTAAATACTAATTGCCTTTACAGTCTTTCCAGTAAAGATCTCTAAGGATATCATGGTCTGCAAGAAATGTTGATTGACAGTGACCCAAAGAGTTTGGGTAACAAAATCAGGACTTAATTGTACATGTTTTTTAATATACTTTTGCAGAAATTGTCACCATCTGCTTTTTTATTTTCTGCTCTTTCTCAGCTTATTCATTTAGGTGACTATTTGAAAAAATAGCTCCCATTTTAGGAATGGAGAGTTGATCTGATAAATTGCACAAACAGATCACAGAAGATTGTTTAACATTGATTTCAAATGTTATTAGGGATGGAGCAGATGCTCTGTTTTGCTGGGCCATGTGACTGTTAAACTCCACGTGGGTTCACATCCATCTGCCTTGGCTTAGCAGGTAGGATAAAATTCCTGCAAATGAAGAAAAGCTCAGAAACATTTTTGAGTCTTCCAGATAGAAGTTGAGCCTTTCACTTTGTTTTGTTCTTTTATAAGTATCCCTGTAGAGCAAAATAATCACAATTCTGCTCCAGCCTGAAGACATAACAATGAGAACCTGCTGCCTGTCCTGAAAGTGAGTCAGCTGTGGTTTGGGAGGCCCAGGGACCTGTGTCAGTGTTGGAACAGTCACCATCACGAGTGACAACGTGTGGCTGGGAGGAGACAGGTTCATTTTTTTTGAGCTTGTGCCACGTTATGTTATGAACTAAAGGAAGACCTTGGTGTTTGAAGCTGTCAGGCTCGTGTCCTTCACAGACATGGCATTCCCACCCTTTTGTTGTTTTACTGTGTCTTCTGGAAGTTCACTTGTAGAAAAATAAATCACTAAAAAAGCTACACTTATTAAACATTGTATTATGGAAAAAATACTACTTGTGGCATTACTAGCAGGGTTGAGTCGTGAATTAGATTTGAGGTGAGCCTCTGTTTCCATTTGTTACTCATGTCATTGATTTCAGTCCCTAAATAAAAATCTGGTTTTCAGGGACATAAAACTTCAAGAGCTATTGAGTACTTTTAATTGCTTTTTAATTTTCAGTTTGTATCATTTATGCTCATTTAGAACCATTAAATACCTTATTAATATATAATCTTTTTGGGTGTATACCATGATTAATTGTCTTAGTCTGTTAGAATATTTATTAATTATATGATTTGATGTCTCAAGAGAGACATACATTTATTGATACATTTATTTAGTAAATTATACAATTGTTAGTATTCAAAATATTAAGTATCTCAGTGAAGGAAGATTGACATTTTGATTATACCTGGTTTAGTTTTGTTCAGATGTTTAGTTGTATTTGCCTTATGGAATGTTCACTGCATCCCAGATATCTTTGATGCCTTTGAAAACACAGGTAGGGAAGGGGAATAGAAAATAAATCCCTATTTCTGCTTTGAGAATGTTGTGATCCAAGCAGACTAGAATCCCAGGATCTCAGCCCTGTGGAATTTACACAGAGGTCTAACTCCTCATCTCTTCTAACAATGCTATCACTGCCTCAGTAACATATTCCTGCCTTTGCTTAGGGTTTCCTGCTCTATTTATTATTTTTGTCTTGTTTTAATGGCCTTGTTTTAAAGGATTATTTTCCACATTGGAGAAATAATTGCAGAGGGGAAAAGATTGTGCATGTATAAAGGAATGTCTAAGGAATGTCTGCTACAAACTGAATTCCCTTCCTCTGCTTCCATATAGATGCTTTATGCTGATAATGAACTTCAGTGGAACTGACATGAAGAGACAACACTATTTTGTAATAGTGATGATTTTTTTTTTTCTCTTGGAATAACTTTCCATCCTGCAGGAAAAGGAAATTTAAAGGAAAATAACCACATGGATTTTGCCTTTCCAGGAAATGCCACTTTGCATGTGTAATGAAGGATTTACTTCAGTAGCTTTTCTTACTGTTCCCTGAGATGGAGTTTTATTTCTTCTTGGATACTGCTGAAAAACTTAAACTGTGTGGGGTCTAGGAATTTCAGAAGAGATTTAATTTGCACTCACATGCTAACTCGATAAAATAAATGATTTTGCCTGTATATTCATGTTGGCATATAAACTGGTGTTCTTGCAGCAAAATAGTTCTGGTTATTTTTATTGGCTTGAGTAGAAGTTTAATAAGGTCATAAGAAAATGGCAAAAAATATTTTAAGTGTTCTTTATAAAAGGCAATTTTCTTGCTCCTCAAAAAGTTTGCTGCTCAGTTTTGAAGAGATTTTAAACACCTGGGACTAACATAACTTCATAACACAGACATTAGACTCTTAAAAGCAGCAAGGAGCACAAATGGGAATAACCAGTGTCTGAGGACTAGATTTCCAGGTGTATTTGATTTTTAAATTTCCTGAGCATTGAATTAAATATTGTAACAAATGATGTGTAGCTGAACTTTAGTCTGAACTCCAAGGATCTGTCTCTGTGCTGAGCTGGATTGACCCACAGAAATCCTTGGGACACGATGGTGTCAGGGGTTCTTTTAGTCTGTGAAATTCATCTGAAGTATTTTGCTGCCTTGTAGCTTTTGGGATATCATTTGTTAAATGGTAAAATAGGAAATACTTTCCACCCACACTGCCTTCTGAATAAACAGATTTTTGTAGGCATTTTTACAAGCATAACATCATATGGAGGATATGTGTTAATTTTTACTTTGAAATATGTAGGACTTAATTTTCAAATCATAGGTGGTGATTATTTGTGTCTGTCGCTTTTTAAAAAAGAACTTTAATTCTGTGCCACCCAGGTATAACACTTTTTGTACAAGTCAAATTGCATTATCTTTTATTTAAATGCTAAACTGGACTGTAGTTCAGCAATTTAGGAGATTGGAAGAAATGAGTGTTAAATGGTAAGATGGTCAATAAAAGGTGCTTATTGTTAATGAAGAGTTTTTGCATTTATCTCCAAAATTTTTTTTATTACAACTTCATTGTCACTTTTTCCCCATAATATCTGTTAAAATGCTGGACCTACTCTGTTAAATTTGTGCCAATATGGAAATAAGCTGGTGGGTTTTGTTTTCTGAGAATAAAAACAGAGTATTACATTTCTACATAATTCTTGAGTAGAGTCTCTTAGATCCTGAAAGAGGAATGCAAGCAAGCATTCATTTTTGCAAAAATTTTATTTGTGATGATAAAATAATTCAAGATGTTGCTTGGAAAGTAATCTTGCCATAGTGCTTGGTATTAGCAGGAATATCAGTAACTGGATGTAGGCATGAACAAGGCAGGTGACACAGGAGTAAGGCAAAAAAATATATGAACTGTCTTGAAAACTTAACCAGAGTTTGTAATATTCCTGTGTAGTCCCAAATTTGGTGATGGTAGGGAACTTGTGAATGTCCTGACCTCCAGTTAGGTTCGTATCTGTACATGAGGGAGGAATTTGGCTTCTGAATTCTTTTTTTTTTTTTTTTGTAATAGAGTTTAGTTTTGTTCAATATGGTAAAGCAGAGTTTCAGAAGGGTTATTTATTAAAAAAGCTCTGAAAAGGGAAAATCAGTAGAGAGACTGATGGGGTTTGGTTTTTTTTTTTTTAAATTCCGGTAACTTTGTTTTGCTGCCTTTTTGCTGAGAGTTCTTCAACAAATGGGAATTGAGAGCTCTTCCATCTCTGCACTTGGTTGTTGCATATAGAAAAATCAAAATAATGCAAAGAGCACAGTGGGAGATGGTGGAGAATGGAGCAGTGTGGTGAATTCTGGATCTCTGCTAGGAATATAAATTGCTTCCTTGCTCTGCTTGCACGGAGAATCAGTTTCTGAGTCTTAAGAGTATTTCACACACAGCTGTTTGTTTGTAGCTGGTCAGGCATTTCAACCCTTTTGTGTTTTCTCAAGGACCTCCTTGCTTGCAGTGCAGTCCCTGCCTTTCTGGGGAATGAGGGAGGGAAGGGGGGGTAAAGGATGCTCATCCGAGTACGTAAAACCAGGCAGAGCAGGTGCTGTTGGAATGAAGGACCCCACGTTTCTGCCTGTCCCTCTCCCTGCTTCTGAAAAGAGGTTTGGCTTTAGGAGGCAGTTCTGTAATTTTCATTTTGGTTTGGTAGGAGGGTTTGTTTCCTTCCCAATAAATTTATTACATATTCCCGAAACGGGGAAATATGAAGAACAACTCCATTGGGGCCAGAACCGAAGGCTTGGGAAGGCTCAGTTGAAAGCAAGCAGGGAGGTGCCCCCAGAATAAACAGGCTGCCAAATCAGGAAGATCCCTGAATGCCAGGCAGGGTTTTCTAAATACAGTGACTGTGGAGCCCTGTCTCCACTATAACATCTAGCTGGGCTGTGACTGCTGTTGGTGAGGCAGAACCTTCTAGAAAAGGGATATTTTGTGGAAAACAATGGGCCTCCTTGGCATCTTCATTCTCAGTGACCCTCCTTTCCCCTCCACATTACCTGTCAGTCTGCTCTCTGTTAATGTGCCAGGGGGGAGCTCTGCCCACGGGTCAAGGCTCTGAAGAGCTGCTGGATTTCTGTCACTTGGAAGAAGCAGCCTTTGCCCAGCCCTGTGTGTGTCTCAGCCTGCCAGGGTCAGTGGGGGCAGCAGGGGTGGGAGTGTGCCACCAGGGCCATGCAGGCATTAACCCTGCAGTGTGGGAAGAAAACAGTACAGTTTGGGATGTGTATGTCAAGTGCTGGCAGCCCTGCAATAGGAGCCACTGCCCAAAAGAGTTTTATCATTTCGGATCAAACATGTAAGGGCAGTTGGGAAGAATTACACAGTTTAGTTATCTTCCTTCAGTTTTACTCCACCGCTTTTCTTCAGGACACTCATCAGTGTATTCATTTCACCAGTTCTAACTGAGTTCAAGTTATGTGGGTACTAAAATCTGACCTGTTTGCCCTAGATTTGAGCCCCGGATTTCTCTGAGAATTTCTGTGCAACCCCAGTGTTTGTTTGCATGCAATGTTTGTTGACTAGATGGTGCTGTGTGGATGCCTTTGAAGAAAAATTCCTCTGGGAATATTGCCTCGTGTGAAGCAACTGCAAAGGCTGGTGGTGCAGTCTGCTCTTGGCTTCCAGTGAGGTCCACGGTAATGCACTAGGGCAGGTCTTGATAGTCTTAACTTTATTGCCCTATTTTCAGCATTGCCTTGTGCCTGCATTGGCCAATCTGTTTACATCTGTGCCCACTGAGCCTCTTGGAGAATGATACAGGATGTTCCTTCCCTCTTTGAGTGAAGTCTAGGCAGAGAGGCAGCCAAGAAATCTGGCAGTTCGATATAAATAGGTTACAAAATTGTCACGTAAGAAAGCAAAGGTTAAAACCTGATTGCATCCACCTGCCCACAGAGAAAGCTTTGCAAGGGAAGGACAATGTCAGCCTCTATTTTTCCTCCTGGAATAATGCATGCAGGATGACCAGGACTGAATGCCCAGGACTTGTTACTTGTAATTTGATTTTTGTGAAAAGCCAAGAAGTGTTAAAAGGCAGGATTTTGCTGGAGACTGAGATAATTCCAGATTCAAAGTTCTGCAGCCTTCTTCTGCAGCCTTCTGCCCTGAAAATATTTAGGCTGCAAACAGCACTGCAGAGGAGACCTGTGAGTCATTTTATCTGCTTCATTGTGCATTGTTGTGTTCTAGGCTGGTGACATTTCTGGCATTTATTTTTGTTCCCAAAGCTGCAGTAATACAGCGTGGAGAGGAACCAGCAGTGTTTGTGGATGCCTGTGGGATCCTCCCCACGTGTGGTCAGGGTGCAAGGCAGGCACAGTCAGTGAGGATGCAGAGCCCATTCTGCTGTGGCCAGGCTGTCACTGTCACCTCCCAGCTCCCCTCCACGTGCCCCCCGTGCAGGTGTGACCGAGACAGGTAGAACACATTGATCAGTACATCCTGTCCTGTGATACAGAGGGATGTTCTCTCCTAAATGACATAGCTGCAATAATTCCCTGATAGCTTAATTTTTGTTGGTATGTGTTTAGCAAGATCTAATGACCTAAAACTGAACTGCAACATTAAGCAAAATGCAAGTGAGAAAACAAGATTGTGAGGGGCCTCTTACCGAGGCACCAACCTTGTTAAGCCAAAGAAAAATGCTGGTGTGTCACAAACTGGCATCTGTGACACAGCAGAAGCAGCCTTGTTCTCCAGACATAAAAATGGCCTTCTGGATACAGAAGTGCTTTAGCAGGTCTGGTTTGTCGCTCTCCTAATTAGGTGGAAGAGTCTTCCAAGTTGAGCAAAAATATCACAGGGGACCTTTGTGCTGAATTACAGCAGAAAATACTAAACAAAGATCCCTCTGCATTTTATGCACACACCTCCTCTTAATGCTCACTTGTGTCAATCAGAGGAATATCCTCCCATACCAGCACTGTTTCCAGAGGTCCATATAATTGTTTAGTCCTACTCATCTATCTGACCTTTCATCACTGACTTTTCAAAGTTTTTAATTTCCTTAGCCGTACCCCTCAGAAATTTCCCATGCCATCCAAGCAATACATTCATTATTGAAACTTGTGTGATTTAATAATTTCCTGGCACTATAATTCCAAAACATGTGGGAGGAAATATGGAGAAGGATTTTTCCATCTCCAGGTGTTTATTTTACTGCCTGAATCCTTGCTCTTGACCCTTCTGAGTGGCTTTTTGTTGAACTGCATTTCAACTGCTCATCTAAGAAAGACCTTCATCCTTGCAGCTGAGGGTGGAGGTGTGGAAGCTCATTCTTAGAAGTCTGATGTGCCTGCTCTAGCATTTCTAGCTTTGAATTTGTGGAGCTGTTTTCTTTTCCACAATCTCCATAAGCTAAACAAACACTTTTTTCAATTGCCTGCTTTACTAATCAGTGTTTGAGATGCAATATTGAGGCCTTTACTGCCCACTCAGCCAACATGCAGCATGCTGGGTTTACCATGGCAGCCTGCCAGGAGCCTGAGGGCTTCACCTGTGCCCAGGAGAGGTAAGACAAAGAGCACAACCAAAGCAGCTCCTCTGTGGGACACAGCAGCACATTGCTGCTTCCATGGTGTCACTGGACACCAGCAGCTACTGGCAATGACTGAGCAGTGGGGTCTGGGTGCATTAGAAGGCAAGAAGCTGGAGCCTTAATTCAGGAAGGTACTTATTTACGAAATAAGTGCATATTTATGTTGAGCACTACATTAAAACCATTAAGCTCCCTTATATATTTGCACTTGGGCACATGTAGATGCATTGCTGAGTCAGCCTGGCTGTGTTAATGACCTCAGCAGATCTCCAGGGAATGTCTCTGCTTTTCCAGGTGTCTCAAGTGTCAGGGTTATGAAGCCAATTCCTGTAAGAACAATTTTCACTTGGTATTTGAGAGAATCATTAATTCTGACTTACTCTGCCTTGCAGTGGTGCTAAATAATGGCATTTGAAAACATTTGAAGAGTCATTTGTTAAGCCTCTACAACCCTGTTGTGTACCTGCTCAAAAGTACATAAAATTAACCGTCAGGAAAAGGAAAAGAACCTCTGACGTGTCTCAGCTGCTCTGTTGTTCAATTGCTCAGTCATCTCTGGGCCACACAGTAGAACAGAATGTAGATTTATTTTAGCTCTCATCAACTGCTTTGCTGTTTTAGTACCTCTGCCTGGAGTACGGAGTGCCTGGAAGATTGCCAGGAAAGGGAAGTCTGTGTGTGAGCAGCCGGGAGGGATAATACGTAAATCTGGGGAAAGAGGCAATTAAAGGCAGTGCTGAGATAGAATGAAAAATAGGCAATATTGAGCCTCATCAGAAATAGCAACATAAACAGCCACTTACTGTACAGTGGAGGGAACTTTGCTGTAAATAACTGCATTTTACAGAAAACAGATGGATTATGAAATCTGTGAGCAGAGTTACAGAAAGCAGTTTGGTCCATGTTGATGTCTGGCAGGTCCTCCTGGCACAAGGGGACAAAAGGTGGC